ATGGAGTAAATTTTGTGGAAACTATGAATAGAATTATTGTAAGCTATAAGAGCATAGTCCATTAAGTCGTCTTCATTAGGATATGTCTGTTTTAGAAGTTAAATGTTCAATTAGAGTAGAGTGTATTCGTTCAGCTATTGAATTTGATTCATGGTGGCCAGGAGTAGTAAAGTGAACTTTGTTTTTGTGTATTGCTAAAAAATTTTTTAATTAACTTTTTTTTTTACTTCGTTATTAAATTCTCTACCTTTGTCTGCTACTATTAATTGGGGAATGCCGAAAGAAGTGAAGTATTTTATTAAGGATTTCGTGATATGAATGCTGCGTTTGTTACCTGGAATAAAAGTAAGCTTGGGCAAATTTAGTAAATGGTCTGTCTTTAGAGTCAATATATTTGTTACCGTCATACGTAAAAATATCTATATGAACAACTTGAAAAGGTTTGCTGGCGTTTCTGTAAGCATTAGCGGGACATAGGGCGTGTGTGTCTACCGTATTTATTTTTCTGGCAAATAGAACATTCGTTAATGTAATTAGTAATAGATGTCTTCATGTTTTTCAATAATAATTTTGACGTAATTTTTCGAAAGTTTCATTAATTCCTCTATGGTTAGTTTTTCCCTCATGGTAATTTTTTAATAAAATGATTTGTTCTTCTTCGTTTGCTACTGTATTAATTAATCTAGTGCATTTAATTAGTTTCGGACCATTTTCAGAAAAATGTTTTAGGTAATATTTATTAAAATCATTATACAGGTTGTCTTTACTAAAATATATAAATAAAATGTATTGTTAAGGTCTGTGTATGCCATAAGAATTTCAAAAATATGTTTTTCATTATCAGTTTCTGAATTTTGACTTTAATTATTTTATGGTTTTGATAAGTTTCCTGCGTTATATCAGTTTTTGGGTAAACGTTTGGGTATACTAGAATTTGGTGTACTTTGTTGTTTACTATTTCATCTAAAATGGGTATTCCTTGATTCGTCGTTTCGTTCGCAGTTGAATTGTTGTGTTGATTCATCTAAGGTCTCGTCTTGTATATCTGGAGGTATTCTTATATCGGAAATAATATTAATTTTTCTTGAACTGTTATCGTTACTCGTAAAAGGTTGTGCGTCTAATGGATTTTCTGCAAAATTTTGGAGGTATTTTAGAATATCTTCATCTACATCTCCAGGATTATTTATTATTGATTCGTCCTCTAAGGCGTTATTGTTATAATACGAGATAGACAGTCTGCGTTTGTATTGTTTTTTCCTTTTTATATATAATTTTATAATCGTACTCTTCCAGTTTTAGACGCCATCGGATTAGTTTTGAGTTTGGCTCCTTTAGGCTGAAAAGCCAAGATAGTGGTTTGTGATCTGTGTAGATATAAAATTTCCTGCCGTAAAGATATGGTCTGAAATGTTTACAGGCCCATACAATTGCTAACAGCTCTTTTTCTATGGTCGAGTAATTTGTCTCCGATTTATTTAGCGTTCTTGAGGCGTATGCGATGGGTCGATCATTTGGAACATTTCCTTGTGATAGTACAGCTCCAATTGCAAAATTACTAGCGTCTGTCGTTAAAATAAATGGTTGGGAAAAATTTGGGTATTGTAAAATAGGGTCGTTTGTTAAGATTTGTTTACAAGTTTCAAAACAGTCAATAAAATCTTTATCGTGGTTTACTTTAGAACCTTTTTTCAAACATTTGGTCATCGGTTTAGTAATTTTGCAAAATCTTTTATAAATCGTCTGTAGTAACCTAATAATCCTAAAAAGCTTTTTATTTCAGTTTGGTTTTTGGAATGGGAAATCTTTTTATGGCAGAGATTTTATCAGGGTTTGGTTTTACGCCTTGAGGGGTAATTACATGTCCTAAATACATAACTGTTTTTTGTAAAAATTCTGACTTGTCTAATTGTACTTTCAAGTTACTCTTTCTGAGTCTTTCGAAAACTATTTTTAATTTTTCAAGATGCTCTTGTAAAGATGTACTATAAATTAAAATATCGTCTAAAATATCTATACACGTTTCGTCTGTTAATCCTCTTAAATCATTATCAATCTACTATCTGAAAAAGTCGAGGGGCATTTTTTAAAAAAAGGCATTCTTTTGAATTGAAAGTGACCTTGTGGTGTACTAAAAGCTGTTTTTTCAACATCTTGTGGGTCGACTTCTATTTGGTGGAAGCCACTTGCAAGATCTAGTGTCGAAAAGTAATTTGCTCTCCCTAATTTATCTAAAATTTCTGTTATGTTTGGTAACGGTATTTGTCATCTACGGTTCTCTCATTTAACTTTCTATAATCTATTACTAGACGCCATTTTCTTTTTCCTGTAGCATCTTGTTTTTTCGGAACCACCCAAATGGGACTCGAAAACGGGGAATTGCTATCTTCTATTATACCTTCTGCTAACATCTTATATATTTGGGATTTAACCTCTTCTCGGTGAACTTCCGGGAAACGATATGATTTTGTATATATTGCAGAATCATCAGTAAGTTTAATTTTATGTTTAATACTATTAGTAAAACTTAAAGGTATTTCCTTCGCAATAAAAAATATCTCTATATTGGAAACAAAGCTTTTTTAGTAATTCTTTTTCTTCTTTGTTGCAATGATTTATCCTTATATTTTTTAAGTTCCTCTTTAACATGTTATCATCATTAATAGACGTTTCTTCGTCAGTTTCCATCTTTCTTATAAAATTAATATTTACAGTATCTAATGGTTCTATATCAAAGGGTTCAGTAATAGTTAACGTTGTCTTATATTCGCTTATATTCGTAATAGTGGTTATAGCAAAATTATTTTTTTACATTAACTACTGCTTTAGGCATTTCGATTCCTTTACCGAAATTCTTATATTCTAATATACCTAATCCTACATTTAATTTTACCGGTATTTCGACTATTTGCTTAGTTCTAGGGGGAATAACTATTGTATGATTTAAAATTGATTTGGGATATAATATATCCTTTTTACTGGGTTCAAAATTATGGGTATCGTTACATAAGGCGTTTTCATTTGTCGCGTGTTAACATTAATTGAAGCTTTTAATTTTTGTAATAAATCTATACCAATTAATCCATCAAAATTTTCGCTAAATTTAAAAACATAAAACTTATTATATTGATTTACTTTAAAAATGTTAAAAGCTGGAATATTAATTATTTCATTGTGCATAGAAATTCCGTGAGCCGTCTGTATATTAAAATTTTCGTAAGAAATAAAATTTTTATAAAATTTAATGCGCTAACTGTGGAGATATCAAACTTTTGGAAGACCCTGTATCTATAAAAATCTAGCATTGAGTTCAGGAATAATAATATGTGGTAAATCTGCTATCGTTGTATTTAAATATATTATGTCGGATTGTAGTTTTCTTGGGCCATGCAAAAATTTCTGTTTTCAACATTTTGTGTGGGATTGTGATATGATCTTTCTTTTGTTTCATTTGGATTGCGATAAGGACTGGATTGAGTTTCATAAATGTTCTCGTAAGAAGTTCATTAGCTCCTTGAGTTGGGTGTACGTAATCAGTGGGAATTTTATTTTCAAAGGGGTTTTCGAATTGTATTTGATCGTTATTAATTTGTTGATTAAATAATTGCGTGGAGGTAAAATGTGGTCTAGATCTTAAAGAAGTATTTCGTGAAGTTGTATCCATCGGTTCTGGCTGGTATTGATTTTGATTTTGGGATTGATTATTAACATTTCTTTGTTGAAAATTAGGATTATTATTATGGAAGTTCCTTGGTCGGAAATTAGAATTATTATTGTCGAAATTCCTTGGATTAAGTTAGAATTATAATTATTGAAATTTCGGAATTGATTTTTGATGTGGCTGAAAGGTATTGTTGGGATTAAAATTATTATTTAGGTATTGCGGTCTCTGATGTTTTGATATTGGTAAGGTGGGAAATCTCATATTAGGGGGATTTTGTTGTAAATTATTTCTAGGAATAAAAGTTCGATTAGAATTATTGTTTCTCGTAGGATTATGTCTCGATGAGGGTCTAAAAAATTTTGTGAGTTTAAATTATTTCCGCGTTGTAACGAATATAGAAAATTCTCTTCTTCGATAACGAAGCTCATAGCTTTCTCTAAACTGTCTGGGTTTCTTATTTTATATTTGTTTGTAACGATAAGAATGTAAGCTAATGTAATTATAAGCCTTAAGTATAAACATAAGTCATCGTAACTGTTTATTCTAATTAATTTCTCTTGTGCATTAATATTAAGCGTATTTAATTTTTGTGTTACTAAACTACGTGTTTCTTGGCATCGCATGCCAAAATTATAAGGGGTTTCATTTTTGAAAGGCCTCAACGTTATTAGGTCTTGAATAAGGCAATCGAGATCTCTCTGGTCTCCAAAACTAAGATTAAGGGCATCTTTTACGAGTTGCCATGTATTTAATTCTGTCCTAGAACCTATTAACATTTGAGCTCTTCCATTTAATTTACCTAATATAGCTCGAAGTAAAAATGTATTCAAGGTGCCCGTCTGTTTGACTAGCAAAATTAGTTATTAAATTTTCACAATTTTCTATAAATATGGTTAAGGTATGTGGATTACCATCATATGTTGGGATGGAATCTAAGTAAAGTTTTAATAATTGGTAATTTGTGTTTGAGCCATTTCGTTATTTGTATCACTATTTGTTTCTAAAATTGAATTTAATTCTGCTACAAGGCTACTTAAATCTAATTTGCTATCACTTTCGCTCATTAAATATTTTTTCAGATAATATATCAAATTGTAATAAAATATAAAATATGTTTCAATATAGAACGTTCAACTTCAATATAATAAGATATTGTCAAAAAAAATATAATAATGTAATTTAATAATAATAATCTTTTTCTATTAAAAATATCTTGCAAAATCATAAAACATTTTAAAAAAATTGTTTGCTCTCGTTAGCTCTCTGACTATAAGTATTTTCAAATATGGAAATAATAAAATGGAAAATAAAATGGAAAAAAATAGGAAACACTTACATTAAAATGTAGATTTTCAACATTGCTGCCTATAGGATTCGACGATTTTGTTCTTCTCCCAGGTCTCGTTGAAACTACTGCTTAAATCTACTGCCTCTAGGGTTCGACGATTTTTGTTCTTTCCCCAGGTCTTGGTGATACCTTGTCTAAAGTTGATCTTGGACACTTTCACAAAAGTTCGTTTTTTCGGTGAATCGTTAAAACGAAAAACTACGCGAAACCGTTCGATTTTTGTAACGTTTAGCGTAATTCCGAAAATCCTACTGACTGCGCCAATATGTGTTTCTAAGTCCAAGAACAATATTTTTAAAAAATAACTTTATTGACAAGGGGGACTTTACTACAGTAAAATGCAAATAAGAGTGACGTATACAATACAAAAGTAAATTAAGTAAGCTCGGTGACGCCGAGGTGTAGCGTGCTGTGCTGACGCTGTCCTTTTATTATAGTTGAATTAGCAGTTCTGGTTTCTTAACTTATATATATATATATATATATTATATATATATATATATATATTGAAAAAGTTGTATTTTATTAATTTTATTTTTTTTTTATTAATAAATATAATTTTTAAAATATGTGGTTCTTTGTTTAATTTATATTCGTTTAATATTTAATTTAATACTCGGCTAGCTCAATTATGTGTTCTAAGCAATTTGTCACTGTGTGACGTCGACTCTGTAGTCTCCTGGTAGAGTTCAAAAGAAATTAAACCAAAATTTACTTTAGACTTTTGATAAATTAATCCAAATGAATCACGTTATTTATTAATATTGAACAAATTTTAATATAAAAAATAAAATTCGTCTGCAACTTGTGTTGCCTTTAAAAATTTACAAAAATAGGAATCGTTGTAACTCTTAATGTGGTTTAGTGACGTGACAATAAAAATGTATTACAAAATGTGGAGACTTTCTACAAGTACCTAAAAACTAAATAAATATTGCAACTTTATATAAGTGTTTAAATGAACTATAAAGAAAAAGAAAATGAACACTTTACTCCGCTGACTTGCATTCAAATATAATCAAAATTTCAAATGATCCCCAAAATTATTGTCCAACCTCACTTTAACACAGTTCTGATTTCTTTAAAGGAAACTAACTACTCAAAAATAATCGGTGAAAATGGAATATCAATCCTTATTCGGACTTTAAGGTACGTACTATCTATTTTTTAATTTAATGATCATTAATATTTTCAATTTTTAAGGCCTATCGCAATTATGTTAATTCATGAATTTTATTTTTCTCAATTTAAATGACATTTCTATACTCCAATATAATTTATAAGTGAAATTGTTTCTCTTACTCTCTGGAACAAATTTCTGGATATCTTTGCCTTGGAAACTGTGGAAAAACTATATTCTAATTAGACGAGAGAAAAAAACACTCCCGAAGTATTCCACAGTTTCAGGGCTCTCCTTCGTCCAAAAAACCTCGTCGGCGTCCCTCCAAAAACCAATTATTATCCGTTGGCTACGTTCTTTTTTTTTCTGTCTTCTATTTAAATATTTTAAACCATAAAAACTGTCCTGTTTGACATATTTGTCAAGCCACATTACTTTCTCATAATCACTTTAAATCACATATAATTTGGGAATTTACAAAAAAAAATTGTTTAGATATAAAACTCATTCTATTACAATACTAATTTATTCTTTTCATCTCCACATCATTTGTAATTTCTTATTTAACAAAACCCCTATTAATTTAGCTCCTACAGACTGTCAAATAAACTGTCAAGCAGTTTATTTTCTGACGTTTATTAAAATTTCTATGTTTAAATGTTTTTTTAAAATTCTTCTTTTTTGTTCTTTTAAGGTTTAGACGAGTCACCTATACAGGCAACTATACTATTCAGAAATAATTATTAACACTAATCTTTTTCTCTCTTTTATTTCAGAGTTCGACTGCTGCTCCGAAAACAAAAAGGACAGACTATAGCACTTAACCATTTCTTTGTCTTTAGTCTTAAACTGAGATGAATTACTGCAAAGAAATGTCTTGGTTTTCATAATGTGTAAGAGTTTTAGTCGTGCTCTTCGGCGTTTTTCCATGTCTAGATTTAGTTAGTCTGTTATACAGTTCTGTGTTTAGTACAGTGGTTCTCGCATGCAGGTAGGTAAAAACCCTCGGAGGAGGATAAATAAAGTTGAATAACATTATTAGGGCTTATTCCGACTTTTGACAAACCAGTGTGTTTATTGTATTTAAAATAGGAAATTTATTATAAATAAGCAGTAAGTACCTATAATTTTATTAAATTTTTATATGAATAGAAATATTTTCTGTTGATTTTCCATTTTCCTTCTAAATATTTATACTGTTTTTATAATAATACTATTGTTTCAGTATTTGCTTATATAATAATAATTTATTATATAGAAACAGCGTAGAGTTTTGGTCAATCATCCAGTACATTTTTTTTGTATTTCAATCAGAATTATTATTTTCTTTTCTTCTTTACATGAGCTCAGAGTAATAACCAAATATTTTGCAGTATTTGTATTTGAATATGAATTTAATTATTTATATTTATTGGTTAGCAACCTACCAATCGTAAAATCAAATACTGCTCAAAGAAACAATGTACAGTCTCGGAACCGGATTGATACTATGAAGACGACTACGGCAAGAAATAATAAGCACAAGCGAAAAACATCCAAAACCCAGATGAGAATTACTTGGAATATCAGATCACTCAACTCAAGGGACCAAGAAATAACCCAAGTGTTGAAAGAGAAAGAAATAGACATTTGTGCTCTACAGCAAACAAAAAATAAAGGAAAAGGTCAATCAAAATTAGGTGAATACATACTAATCTACAGTGGAGTAGCAAAAGAAAAAAGGGCCAAAGAAGGTGTAGCCTTACTAATACACAAAGGTATCAAAATTACATCAAAGAGTGTCAATACATATCAGAAAGAATAGTAACATCAAAGATAAGAATGGAGAAGGAAAACCTGAACATTATCGGAGTATACGGCTCAGAAAATAATAAGCCTCAAACAACAAGGGAAGTGTTTTACGACCAATTACAACAAGTAGTAGATCAAGTCAAAGAAAAGATGATAATTCACAGCTAATTTGATTATAATAATTAAGGAACCTCATTTTTTGCCATGTTAAGGAATGGGATTTGTATTTTTTGTTAAAAAATTGCACAAACATTTTACCTTTACAGGACCCTCTACGAATTTTCAAAAATGTAGTTCAAATGGTGACTAGGAAGAACCTACAAATCCATACCGAACAAGCAATTTCAAACTAATAAAATTTTCTATATCTCCGGATCTACTCAATGGATTTTGATCATTCTTTTTTTAATTTTGTAATATAATATTTGTATATAATATAATTTATTTTGTAAATAGGAATTAGTAATTTGTTTATATATTAATTAATTAATAAATAGTCTAGTTTGTTTAAACAATTCGTGCAAAACAATTTTCTTCCAAAAATCTATTTTTTTTTAATACTAGTATCAATAATCATAAAACAGTCGCGTTTTTTGCATTAAATTGTCAATAATTAAAAAACAGCTCCAAATTCAAGCAAGTAGATTTTTTCCTAGAGGTCTACAATAACTAAAAAAGTTGTCAGCGACCTGGATTATTGAGTGTCACGAACATGGTCTATTTTTTGCTTATTTTCCTGGAGTATATATTTGATTAACATCTGTGTAATTTCTTTGTCGCTTCCTCGCTGGTTTTGCATATTGCTATGATAGCAATATCTTCGGTAAATGTTGCAATTGTATATTTTCTAGGACAATAATATAACACGTATACAAAAGGTAAAGACACTTCTTTGTGGCAGCCCTGCTGTAATATCTGTCAATTCCATGTATGTTTCTTCCTGTTTAATTCTGAAATATCTTTCCAAGATGCAGGAGTCAATTATTTGAGAGTATCGTTTTGGTAAATGTAGTCTTAGTTTATAGTTATGGCGTCTTTGCCATACTTTATCATATACCTGAGTCACATCCTAAATTATTGATATAAGGTTGAATGCTCGAATAAATGAACTTTAAAAATGAAGGCAAATTTCGAGCACAAATTTAATAATCAAATCTTGCCCAAGTACTTTCGCTTTCTACAGCATCATCAGGGCATCTGCGCTTGCTGGATAGCCCAAATTTGACGAAGTAAGTCTAAAATGTTAATCACAAAAAAACTTTTATCATCCATTAACTTCGAGTTTTTTATCGAAGTTTATTAATTTTCTTCATTTAAAAAAACTTTTCTTGGCTTATTTCAGATGCCCCTGATGATGCTGTAGAAAGCGAAAGTACTTGGGCAAGATTTGATTATTAAATTTGTGCTCGATATTTGCCTTAATTTTTCAACGTACATCCTAAAATGTCCATCATATTATCCTTCATGATCCATATTTCACATCCATATAAATAGTTATACAGTATATTTCATCATCATCATCATCATCATCATCATCATCAATGGCGCTACAACTCTTCGTAAGTCTTTGCCGCGGTTACTATTGCCTTCCATGTTTGTCGGTCCTGTGCCAGTAATTCCCATTGTCGCACTCCCATTTTCTCTAGATCTAGGAGTATATTTACATATAACAAATTAAATCCTTAGTTGTAAATTTTTGAAATAAGTACTCAGTATACATCTAAGTTTCATAAATGCTCCTTATAAATCTCATAAATCTAAACTTTTGTACTCCGTTCTTTGTTGACAATTAGTTGCATAGGGCCGACGTTTACTAACCACAAGCACACAAGTAAATTATCTTATTTCTTTCATTTGACAATAATTGTCTGTTAGATTAGCATTGTAAGAAGTAAATTAGTCTCTTACTGAATGATAATAAACAACACATCAAACTTATTCTGAAACTATTTCTTGTGTCATGTTATATTTTATTAGATTTTGGTGTAATAAACCATCAAATTCTATCAAATTCAAAATTGGAAATGATAGCGTGACTAAATTATTCCTTCCTTCAAGAAATTTTAAAAAGAACTGATTTCTATTACTATCCAGTGCAAG